TTTACAAATAGATGCCAACTTGTTGAAGGCCAAGTGAAATGCAAATTTCCAAAACTTTTCTGCACTGTATAAGACAATATTCCTATTTCTGATTTGAAAACCAAAATAATCCTTGAATGAACTAGCACTAACGAAGGATAGTTAATTTATGAAATATACTTTTTTTTTTAAAATCAGTATGCAAATTAGTTAATCCTGAAGAGTGATATCACCTAGAAGTAGATAATATATAGTACATATATTGAGCTATTAGCCCGTAAATGGAGTGATTTCGCATTATTTATCATCTCTCAGTTGCGTCTCTGTCCGTGCGCTCAGGGTCTTCTCTGTCAAAGAGCAGAGGGGCAACTGAGGAAAATTATACTGAAGAGGTGCCCAGCCCTGGAGAACAGCTGCCCTAAGCCGCGCCCTCCCATTGCACAAGAGGGAGGGATCGGTGCTCGCACCGAGCCCAGCGCAACCGACGTTTGCGGGAGCTGAGGGGAATTTTTGTCCCTACCCGACTGTACGTGCTCGGGTCCCCACATTAATCCGACCTTGTGTCACATCTCATTCTCGTGGGGGAATGAGTAAACACCGCACGTAAATTGCTATAAAGTAGAGTCTAGCTGCGATCTGTTCCAGCTAAACAGTCGAACTCTCCGCCTTTGGGCAGAGAGGAACCCGGACGAGGCTCCGCCGAAGGACAGTGTCTCGTTCGGGGAGGTGGACTGCCCCTGAACTCGTTTATATGGGTTCGAAAGGGAATATTCTTGGCCGAGTTTACGGTCTCGGAGAACCCACGTGAATCCAGCTTTGTGCCACATGCAACCCACGTTGGGGGGTATCTAAATATACTATGAAGTAGAGTTGAGACGTTTTTAACTCGAGAATTCGTTGCATAATTGTGTCTCGGTTTCACATTTATTCAAATAGATTCAATAATATAGGTTTTATTTAATTAGCTATTATGTTTCTCTAACTCTTCAAATGTTGAATGTATAAATAATTGCAATTTCTATTTTCCCATCTTTAACTATATTAATTTCATCTTATAAATTGTCCCATTTTCTCTCACCCATGAAATAAAAATAATTGTTTGTACGGAAAATAAGGATCTACATACATGAAATCGTTTTTAAATTAAGTGGCAGCAGAAGAATTATCGTTGAACTTTTAAAAAGGAAAGCTTAAACATTAATTCAATACTTAAATGCAGCTATTAGAGTTAAGGTCTTCTGTAGTTTATTAATGTCTATCGCATCTGCTACTCCGCAGTTATTGCGATGAGGGCCAAACCAAGAGACCCCCACAGGAGTTATTTTAAATGCCGCTCCATACGGTGGCTTTTAAACCAGTTTATAATCAAACGTGCACTGCAATTTTGGATAAAAAATGAAAATAAGAGTTAATCCCCTTGAAACATGAAAGCAACGATAATGGCTAGTATAAAATATTAATATATATTTTAAGCTCAAATAATCTGGCAACCCCAAATCTGAGCACAACGAAAATCGTTCCCTGTGCCTAACTTTTTTAAGACTTTTGAATGAGCTATGAATCATTGAAATCTGACCAGTGGATGTGGAGAAGTTGTTTGTACACAGACACACACAAACACACACACATACATTTTACTTTATATGTAAGATAGAGCAGGAAACTACTACATCAATTTTCACAAGAATGTATCTATAAAAAGTTAAGGAATCTGTGGAGAGCTATAATCACATTCGTCATAAAAGGACATGTCATATTAAAAATAGGATAAGGAATAACTTATATAGAAACTAAGACCAAAGGACAAATACGTGTTACTGATTTCCCGCCAGGCATCTGTAAACCTTTGCAGAGTTGATAACTATTCTGAAATAATTTTTGAAAACTTCCCATGAATTGATAGATAGGTCGTCATCCTCAAATCCAACTATACTCTAACTCTGACCTGCGCATGCGTGTATATAACAGGTTTATCGTTTCGCTCTTTGTAAAGCTAAGGGCGTCATTTGTATTCCAATTTAATTATAATATTGACAATTCCAGGAAAGAAGACGCATTTATTAATTAACATTTGTTTTGCTCTCTTCCTGTATCGATATATAAATCAAATTTCAGTGATTTATCAGATAAGCCAAACGACACCTACGCTAACCATCTTTCTTGCGCGCATATGCTGATCTGATAAGAGCGTAATGCGGTTATCTTTTCTCTTGTACTGTGTATTCCTACGCGTTAGCCTGAGTCTTATTTTATCATAACTACATGCATTAGTTTTTGTTTGCCTGCAACAAAAGAGAAACCAGTGGGTGTCTCAGCGTGGGGTAATGGCTGACAAGGTAGTTCAGTTGACCAATTTTACTATGTAGAAGAAAAGAGTTCTGAACAGACATGTCTTACGAATCCTTTTGCTGGGCAATCTCTGCACAGGTGAAGACAATCTTGGAAACAAAAGAAAGGTTATTCTACAGAAAGATGCTGAGAATAAAATGGACGAAGAAAGAAAGCTTGAAGAAATTTACACTCACAGGACATATCGAACGAAAAATAGATTGAGGAAGGCAGCAGCCGCCTACCTGACGTTGCTAAGAGCTACAAGGAATAGGAAGTTGTGGAGAGCCATGATCACCTAAGTCCTTAAGGTATACGGCGCATAGAAGAAGGGTTTGGTTTGGTTAATTTTGTTTTACGGCATTTCAACCTCAATGATTTATTTAATGCCGACAAAATTTTAATGCTGGTAATTTTTTTCAATAATGTATTGCTGGTAATATTTTTTCCCTTCAAAAAATCTATCTCTGTTAATATTTTATTTTTCAAAAATCTGTTGCTGACAATATTTTATCTTCAAAAATGTATTGTTGTATTTTTTTTTCTTCAAAAATGTATAGGTGGTAATTTTTTTTCAAAGATGTATTGAGTGTAATATTTTTTTAATATATTGCTTGTAATAATTTTTTCTTCAAAAATGTATTGCTGGTAATAATTTTTTACAATGTATTTCTGGTATTAAAACTTATTTTTACACTTTGATAGTGTTTTGACCCTAGTTTGAGTGTTAATAATTTGCCTATAGCTCGGACCCTAACAGGTGCTACCACAGCGGGTCAGGGTGGACGTGGGAACATAAGCAATTAAGAGGTGGTTCCACACTACTCAAAACCTCCTGATCAGTGGCCTTGCTGTTTGGACGTAGTTTATCGTCTTAGCCTGGACACGGGTGTAGTTTATCATCTTACTCAGGACAATAGAAGAAATGGGTGGTAAGTTCAAACCTCAACCGCGTCTATTACTTGTGTTCTTGTGACAAAGCTAAGCTAAGCTTAATATTTCAGGGAACACTCATACGAGGTAAATGTCTAACTAGCTATTATATTTGATCATTATTACTGGGTAGTGAGTTCGATTCCTACTGGATGCACCTTATCTTTGGCCTTGTGCCAAGGCAAAATAAACGGTAAGAAATGAAAGAATTGTCAGAGTTTAAAATGTGTGGTTATTCTCAGAATTTATTCAATCTCTACAGAGAAGCAATCTTAAAGGAACTACAAATCCTAACAGGATTTATTAACGATGGGCAGAGTCTTATGAAGATTAGATTCGCTGATGACATCGCGCTGATGACAGAAATAAAACCGGAGGATCTCCTAGAAAAGATACTAAAGAAACGTATGAAGAAAAGCCTAGCCAGTATAAGAAGACAGAATTTAAGTTCATTAGTTAGTGAGATAATGGCACTTGGATATTTGTCCAACGGATATTTGGTCAACGGACATTTAACCGAATGGACATTTAGCCGAAAATGTAGTGGCGTGCTTACATGTATGTCACAGCGTGTTTGAGTGCAAGTAGCAACAGATTTAACTCTTGGCAACAACGTAACCAAAATCTTTGGCTAATTATAACCGTTACTAGGGAAACGATTAATTCTTTTGATTTATTCTTTAAAAGGAGAAAGAAGATCAGAATGTAAATTCAGAAAGCATTGCTTATGCCATTAAGATTTTTTTTTTTTTTTTTTAAAAAAAGCGACAAGGCTGAATGAATTCCTCCGAGTAACTCTTCTTCCTTATTCTTTTAATATTCGTTAAACAATCAACAACTCTCAAGGTAAAAGACAATGCATATTTGACCCTGTTTTCCGGCTATAAATTCGGTTGTGATTAAAAACCCTAAAAGTCAAGGTTATATAAAAGACAATTAACCATACTGTTTTTTTTTTTTTTTTTTTAAAAAAAAATTACAAGCATGAACGCCGAAGTGCCTGTGATGAAACGCCAGGAAGTTAAACGAGCGTAGTTTTCTAAGCTAAATTATGATATTTTCAAAATATGCAGACAGTCAAGTTAGTAGCCAATCGGCGCAAAGTTAGATGACCTTGCTAATGTTTGACTTTATTGATTTTATACAATTTGCAATGGTTGCCGATATACGCAGTAGGCAGATTTATTTATTTATTTATTTAGAAAGAAAGAAACAAAGAAACAAAGGAAGAAAGAAGAAAGAAAAATATCATGCAAAAACGATATTGAAAAGTAAAGAAAAACGAATGTCAGCAAAGAAGGACAAGAAGGGACAACGCTTAAAGAGAAGAAAGAGAATAATAAAAAAAGTTGAATGAAATAATAACTCTTATTCGGTGAAAGAAAGACAGAAAGAAAGAAAGAAAAAAAGAAAGAAAAAAAGAAAAAGTGGGTAGGTTAAAAAGAATAAAAAATTGAAGAAATAAATGAAAACATTGCCAAAAATAAATAACAAACAAAATGCCTCAAACAATAATTCGAAGAAAGAAAGAAAGAAAGAAAGAAAAAAGATTGAAACTGTAAGAATAGAAAAATAATAGAAAAAAAAGAAAGAAAAAAGGAAAGACAAATAGAATGGAAGGAAGGGAAGAGATCAAATGAAAGAAAGAAAGAAAAAAAGAAAGAAAGAAAGAAAGAAAGATTGAAACTGTAAGAATAGAAAAATAATAGAAAAAAAGAAAGAAAAAAGGAAAGACAAATAGATGGAAGGAAGGGGAGAGATCAAAAGAAAGAAAGAAAAAAAGAAAGAAAGAAAGAAATAAAGAAATGAAAGAAGGAAGAAAGAAAGAAAGATTGAAACTGTACGAATAGAAAAGCAATAGAAAAAGAAAGAGAAAAAGAAAGACAAATAAAATTGAAGGAAGGGAAGAGATCAAAAGAAAGAAAGAAAGAAAGAAATGAAAGAAGGAAGAAAGAAAGATTGAAACGGTAAGAATAGAAAAGCAATAGAAAAAGAAAGAGAAAAAGAAAGACAAATAGAATTGAAGGAAGGGAAGAGATCAAAAGAAAGAAAGAAAGAAAGAAAGAAAGAAAGAAAGAAAGAAAGAAAGAAAGATTGAAACTGTAAGAATAGAAAAGTAATAGAAAAAAGAAAGAAAAAAGGAAAGACAAATAGATGGAAGGAAGGGGAGAGGTCAAAAGAAAGAATGAAAGACAGAAAGAATGAAAGAAAGAAAAAAAGAAAGAAAGAAAAAGAAAGAAAGAATGATTGAAACTGTAAGAATAGAAAAGTAATGGAAAAAGAAAGAAAAAAGGAAAGACAAATAGAATGGAAGGAAGGGAAGAGATCAAAAGAAAGAAAGAAAGAAAGAAAGAAAGAAAGAAAGAAAGAAAGAAAGAAAGAAAGAATGTAATGGAAAGACTGAAAAAAGAAGGAAAAACAGAGAATGAGATGATGAATGTAGCAAAAATATAAATCACACAAAATCAGCAGAACACTTAAATGAAAGACAACAACAAAAAAAGAAATAAAGAATGAATGAATGAAAAAAGAATGAATGAATGAATGAATGAAAAGGGAATGAATGAATGATATGGTACGACACTGTGGATTTATCTTTAGCAAGATCAACTAATAGACCAATATTGAGTTCGATTACAGGCTGTCACAAATTTATCATATTGTGTTTTACTAAACTAAACTTAGAAGAAATATCAGAAGTTGGTTTCTGCCTTAGGAGTAACGATTAACAAACTTGTCTTAATTTCAATACTATTGACAGTTTGATCACTGAGTGCCCCAAATTGCTGGCCTTGTGTAAGAATGATTTAAGCTTAGCAAATATATAAAAAAGATTGAATATTGAACGAAGAAAGATTGAATAAAGGAATGAAAGGACGAAAAAAAGCACAAAAACGAATGAAAAAATGAAAGAAAAACAAAGAAAAAAAAAGAAAGAATATTATTTTTACCCCCCCCCCCGAAAAAAAAATAGCGATAAAAAAGAATGAATCTTCATACAAATTGATCGGATTACAAGCAAAAAAAAAAAAAAAAAAACTATTCGTCTCTCTCTGTTTTCAATTTGTGTGTATGAAAAAAAAAAGAAGAAAAAAAAATCCATTCTAAAATTTGTTTTGTTTGTGCACAGGTCAGACATATTTTATTTTAACGAAAGGAATTATGTATAAATGTTTCTATTGCTTACAAATATTTTTTAAGTTGTTTTTTTTTTCTTAAACTAAACAAAACAGATATTTTACTATTCATTTACTTTTTAAGAATAGGAATTAAATGTTCGTTTTCATTTATTTATTTATTGATCCGATGAATAATACCTCGGAGGCACGTGGTACAATTGCGCATATGTCTGGTATTGCTAACAGCTTTTTAATATTTCTCTATAATATAAAGACTATGTGTTTCCAGCTTGCATAGACTAGCGTACTTTTTCAGTTTCAAGAACGCATTCTTGAATCATTATAAATTAATACTGAAAAGCAAGACGTTGTATATTTAAATATAAACGTAATTAAGTCGTTATCACGACTGTGGCGGACTTCACCACATTTATTTAACTTAGATTAGGAAACCAAACTGACGTGAAGAAAAAGAGGATAAGCCAAAGATATCATTACACATAAAATTTGTATTTAACAAGATGTACAAACAAGGATGTGAAAGAAAACCATGCATTGAGTAAAACAAGAGTTTTCTCTCTTTAACTATCAATTGTTCCAAAGTTCACTGAAAGAAATAAGGTTGTAATAGTTTCTGGTAACAAATGTTTTGAACAGTTTTGCTGTGTAAGAAAAAAATTATGTGAGTATAGGGAATATTCAGCATGCGAGTGGTGGTGTGAATGAGAAGGTTGGCGCATGGTTTCAACAGTCGTGGATTCCTGTTGCAGCTGAAGTCTCACTCCTTTACTAAGAATTTTCTTTGCTTATATAGGTGATAATCGGTTCCGAACGCGCTGCGCGGGAAGAACCACTCTTCACCTGCAGACAATCTGATTGGTTGGCATTGACCAATCAGCGAGCGAGCTTTGGGGAGACTCACGAAAAACTTCTGGGATCCGATTCTCCCAAAAGTGCACAAAATCGACTACATGAAAATATAGCGATTATAAAATTACACAGTAGTGTTGATTTATTATCCAATGAATGCTTGTTGTTGTATGATTTATTATCCAATGTATGCTTGTTTGATGATGATGATCATCACACGACTATAATAGACCAGATCGTTCATATGTTAAAAGTATTGTGTAGAATAAACAATTTATCACAAGCCTTTTAGCATGAGAGATTTAGAAAGGGCGAAGATAAGGGGCAAGTAACTCTGATTTGCGGCGGTAGTGATAACTCCTTAATTAGTTTATACGTTGATAACCAACGTCTTCCTTTAACCTGTTCCCTATTATTATTGCAATGACTCATATTGGTAAGACGTCTGCTTTGAACCAATTTTTATGGAATGGACTCTTAAATATGTCGACACATTTTACGTTAAAGATATAATCTTTCTTTAAAAAAAAGGGGGGAGAGATGAAAAAGAATTAAGGAAATGATGTAAGAAAAGACAAAAAAGGAGAAAGGAGTTTAGAAAGAAAGAAAGAAAGAAAGAAAGAAAGAAAGAAAGAAAGAAGTGTAAACTGAGAAAGAAAGAAAGAAAGAAAGAAAGAAGTGTAAACTGAGAGGAAAAGAAAGAAAGAAAGAAAGAAAGAAAGAAAGAAAGAAAGAAGTGTAAACTGAGAGGAAAAGAAAGAAAGAAAAGAAGTGTAAACTGAGAGGGAAAGAAAGAAAGAAAGAAAGAAAGAAAGAAAAGGGAAGTCAAGAATAAAAAAGAAAAATGAGGGAAATGGAGTGATATGTATTTGAAAGATAGTTATATAACGTAACTATGAACACTAATGCGTATATCCCAATCCTCATAAAGGCGTTGGACCCTATTGTAAGTCGGGGTAATATGCTGTCCAGGTGCTCGTAAACTATTTCAGTGAATTTATATCAAAGGTTCCCAACGTGGGACGCATGGCCCACCGGCAGGTCATACCAATATGTTGGTGGGGCATGCGTAGGATTTGCACCCTTTGGCTTACTATACCAACAGAAGAAGTGCTATTCGAGAATGAGTGAATTGTTTTCTAGTCAGTCTGAGTGAGAATGTTTATGTTAATACATACAATGTAAATACAGTATAAATATATAAAAATATTTCGTGTGCATAAACGTACATGTTTAATTGAACCTGACCGAAAGAATTCTGAACAAACATCTGTGTACGGGATGAAACGATCTTATCTCTTTTAAAAATGACTGTTAAGGAATAAAAACTTCAACAGTAAATTACATATTGTACGTAAATCAGTCATTAAAAACATGGAAAGATATATAAAATTCCTCTTTCCCTCATCAAATTAATGTCATCATACATCTCTGGAAAGCAAGAATTCCCAACATGGGGCGCATGGCACACCGGTGGGGCATGGTACTATTTTGATGGGATATGCGTAGGATGTGCACCCTTCGGCCTACTATACCAACAGAATAAGGGGGAAATTCAAGAATGAGTTATTAACAGTGAATTGTTTTCTAGTGAATCTCAGTGAGAGTGTTAATTTTAATGCGTGTTAATACATACGATGCATATACGATATGCACACATAAAAAAATATTTTGTGTGTATCTATGTGTTGTAGTTTCTTCCCTCTAATGAGGCTTTTGTGGACTCTTCCACTTAAAATAAGTTAGTAGGAAAGTAAGTCTCGGGGGCGGAACGGAGATATAGACTGAACTCTGGTCAACCGACACACACTCCCAAGTCGTGTAACACACTTCTGTTGTATTTACTGTTCGATACACTATTTATCTGGAAACTCTTGTTTTGTTATTCCTTAACCAATTACTTGGTCACATCATATATATATATATATATATATATATATATATATATATATATATATATATATATGATGGGTAATTGGCATAAGAATTGTGTAATTGGCATATAAGAATTAAATATTATATTTTGTATTATTATTTCATGATTAAAATGATCAAAAGTATATTACAGAATTCGCTTTCATTCAAATATTTTATATTTCTGCCTTTCAGTTCTCCATTATATATTTATATTATAACTCCATTATGGGTCAGAGAAATCTTAACTGCTATCTTAAGTAAAAAATATCCTATTCATTGTCAATTTAGATTCAAACATCCTAGTTGAACATATGTTCAGTCTATGGTATTCTCAACCTTCTTCTGTTGGACATCATGTCTATTACGTTAGCCATATTCTTTATCTGTAAGACAATGATTCCCAACGTACAGCCGGTGGTGTATGGTAATATTTTTGTGGGGCATGCGTAGTATCTGCACCCTTCGGCTTACTATACCAACGTGAGCTCAAATTTGATTTTGCATTATTATTTCATGATTAAAATGATCAAAAGTATATTACAGAATAAACTTTCATTTAAATATTTTATATTTCTTCCTTTCACTTCTCTATTATATGTTTTGAAAATATATATATTTAACTGTCTTTTTTTTTTTTTTTTTTTTCTTTCATGGACGCCATGGTCTTTGGAGGCTTGTTTAGAGACCAAGTTAATAGCCTTTTAAGCTTCCTTCACGTGAATTACCTGAATTAACATTTTGAATATGTAACAATTAAATATTACAAGGGTCACCATAATTTTAGAAATATTAAAGTGGGGCCTGGCCTAAAATCAGTTGGGGACCACTGATTTAGATGAATTGTTTTGCATTTCTTAATCTGGAAGGAGTTCACTACAACTCAAAGCAAATGGAATAGTAATAACAATCTTGTGAATATCAGGAGCCACTACCTGGTTTTAAGAATTAAATATTACAGTTTGTGGGGGCACCAGAATTATAGAAATACCAAAGTTGCGAACCACTAGTTTAGATCTTCCTCTTATAGTTTGGTGCGATTCTTAGCATACCTATGAATATCTCGATCTGACTAGCCAATTTAAGAATATGATTCGAGTTTCTGCTTTAATGTTTTTGTTTTGTATCAAACTGACGTGTTGGACGAAACTTCTTCTAATGAAGACTGCGGTGATTATTGAGGAACTATTCTATATTATTGAGTAAATATTCTATATTCAATTTCCTTATCTTTTTTTAAGTCTTTCGCCCCAGGCAAATAAATACTTAACAAGAACAGAAAAGTAAAACCCAACCAAACATAATTAGCCATCTCAGTGAATACCGCGTTAGTAGGGCCGTTCGGCTTAACATCCGATAAATTTAAAAATCAAAGCCCAAATCATCGACGCACAATAATTCACACTAATTCGACTGGATAGTTACTCAATCATCATCGCAGTCAGTAGCCTGACATCGCTATTTATACACCTGGCGGAAACCATATATTCATATGTTACACTTGAAGCTTGGTGTTACTTATTTTCTTCTTATATGACATTATTATTGTTATCGAGTTGCTATTCTGCACCCACACTGTTGCCCACAGAGTTTTGCCTGGAGTGTTAATGTTCCAAGGTCGTTAAGTACATATCCAAGACATGGGAAAACTAGAAGATGCGCTATAGTTTGTAATTACCTATATTCTAACTCTTGTTCATCATCAGTGGTATATCCCCATTTCTGAAGGTTCTACAGCGACCGACAGCGAAGTGACTGTAGACGAGACCCCAGATCACATTTCATAAACGCTGCTGGATTTTGTTGAGGACCTCGAGATGAACAGTGGGATTTGTATATATGCATGTATAGCTGGCCACTCGTATTCGAGCATAACCGTGAATTAGGGAGGCTAACCAATCCCTGTTGCAGACGCTTGCTCAGGCAGATTTGTGTTTATTCAACACCCACAGAGACCAGTTGAGGTTTATGCTGCAATTATGCTGAGCAGACCTTAGTTACAGTTTCTGGGAGAGAGCGAGTTATCTACCGTGATCAACAATTTGAACAAGACCGGCATGCTCAAGCCCTCGGCCATGGTGACTTGTGACTTCGTGCTAGCACATATATCGACGGCCTGGAAGCGTTCCGTCTAAGCAGTTTCACTCACAAGGCTTGAGTCAACCCGTGGTATGCATTTCAGGCACTTTCCAAACGTGCCGCACGCTGGGATCTAACCCTCCAGTCCGATAACATCAGGAAGTCTCCTTCCTGACGAATCGAGCATGGTGAGATTTGAACCAGAGTCTTATGGTCAGAATGCGAGCCTTCTAAGCCCTCTGCATGTATGGCAACTGTATTCAATGCAAGGAAGAATAGTAGATTTGTAGATTAGAGGGATGGATTCAGGAGAGAAAACCTTCCAGCCCGACACAGAGAACCAACCTTCCTGGCGGTAGATGAAGCTACTGATTAAGAATACTAAATGTGTTTTAACTGAAGCAAGCTTCGAAATATTTTAAGTATTTAGTATTTATTGATTTCACATCCTGAATTTGGATTCAGCGCATATGTTATCAGTGCTTTCAATCCAATTCCATGTCATAGCAGAAGAAAAATAAAATAATAACTAAATTGGTAATAACGCTGACGACGCTGAATTCCAAAAAATAAAATCATTAAAAAATAAAATATTGATGCTCTTAAGGAAAGACGATAGCTGAACGCATAAAAAAAATAAATGGCGGATAAGTTGTCAGTTTGGTGATTAGGGCCAGATCAACTCATCTTGGCTAAAGCCGACTTAAACGACCTTCAGAGGACTGATCTTCGTATATCCCACCGTAGAAATCCATCATGGCGTCTGTTCGTGTTATGATTATCTCGCAGACGTGAGGTGTATGTGCTATCATGGCGCTCCCAGAACTTCATTCTTGTACAGGCGAAATAATCCTTTACGCAGGTCAGACCAAAGCCGGTCTAATCTCTGACACCACGATAAAGACACACACACACACACACACACACACACACACACACACACACACACACACACACACACACACACAGAGAAACACACACTCACGCACAAGCGCGCGCACACACACATACCAAAAGCTTCTGATTACAAGCGAAATATGATACATCGCTTCACTTAATAATAAGTGACTGCACTATTTTCATTATTCGGACTATTGTCTTCATCTTTGTCGCCATATTTATTACAACGACCGTTGTACACTCCGGCCTTCTTCAGGTGTTTGGAATGTCGAACTGAACCCTTTATTTCGCTCGCTGGGGTAGACTGTTCTAGTTCCACGTGCGATATCTTATGAATGTATGTTATCAGATATCTCCTCTTAATTTCCCTCTTCAAGTACTCTGCCATATGTCCTCAAGGACACATGGAACAGTGAATAAAGGCGTTAGCTTGATCCAGTGACAGGACTCAAAGGGTGTGAGTTCAATACCTTCTTAAGGCGGTGGAGAACTTGGAGAGGGGAATTAACAGGAGATAACAGATAATTGACATCCGAATAATGTAAATAGTGTGCACAATACCTCATCTCAGAAATATAGACAGATACTGAAGGGCCGAAACGATGTAATAAATATCGTGACAAAGATGAGGACAATAGTCCGAATAATGTAAATAGTAAACATAATACCTCATCCCAGAAATATAGACAAATTCTGAAGGGCCGAAACGTTGTAATAAATATGGTGACAAAGATGAGGACAATAGTTCGAATAATGTAAATAGTGAACATAATACCTCATCTCAGAAATATAGACAGATAGTGAAGGGCCGAAACGTTGTAATAAATATGGCGACAAAGATAAGGACAATAGTCCGAATAATATAAATAGTGTACATAATACCTCATCTCAGAAATATAGACAGATACTAATAAGTTACTATTTAGAAAGTTGGAAAACAATAAACACGAAATCATTTTTAAAAATATACCGAAATAGTTCATATTTTTGTAATAAAAACAAAAAAAACAACAAAAAAAAAACCCCAGTGAGTTTCACCCTTTAGAAAGCCAGTGGCCCACTCGATATTTTTGCGTATAGGAGTGGAAGATAACTGTTAACCCTGTCCTTGAACATGTCAAGATTGTAGGGGGAAGCAAACTTCTGGGAGTTGATTCCACAGAGCTGCGGGTGGCTAGAAGAAGCTGCTGATGGAATATGGAGAGGATCTGAGTGATTTGCTATTAGGTATGACATTTTCTTGCTGTGAAAGTCTCCCTCGGGGTCGGGGGGACCAGGGAATGTAGTTCGTTCCAGCACCTTCCGTAGAAGTAGCGGTAGAATAGAGAGAGACTCACCACACTCCGCCGGTGGACGAGAGGTTGAAGGGTGGAAAATAATTCGTCACCTACAAGGACTCGGAGACGATATTGAACGCAATCAAGCCTGGGGAGTGAGAAATGGGCAGCTCCCGTCTAAATATGACAACAGTACTCCATTTTTAGTCTGATATGGCTCTTATAAAGGTAGGGAATAGCAGGTTTGGTTTGGTTTGGTTTATTATGGTTTACGGCATATCAACCTCAATGGGTTATGTAATGCCGACAACATTTTAAGGATAGATTCATATGAATAGAATATGTATTCTTTGGTTTAGATTGGTTTGGTTTATTTTTGGTTTATTTTTGTTTTACGGGCATATCAACCTCAATGGGTTATTTAATGCCGACAACATTTTAAGGATAGATTCGTATGAATAGAATATGTATTCTTTTGTTTAGATTGGTTTGGTTTATTTTGTTTTACGACATATCAACCTCCATGGGTTATTTAATGCCGACAACATTTTAGGGATAGATTCGTACGAATAGAATATGTATCCTTTGGTTTAGAATGGTTTGGTTTATTTTGTTTTACGGCATATCAACACCTCAATGGGTTATTTAATGTCGACAACATTTTTTATTGCTATTTTGTTTTATCAAAAATCTGTTTCTGATAATATATTTCCTTCAAAATTGTATTGCTGGTAATAATTTTTTTCAAAATATATTGCTGGTAATAGTTAACTAGATGCCCATAGCTGGGACCCTAACAAGTGCTACCACCCCGGGTCAGGGTGGACCTGGGAACACCAGTAATTAAGAGGTGGATCCGCGCTTCACAAAAGTTCCTGGTCAGAGGCCTTGCTGCTGAACGCAGTTTATCGTCTTACCCAGGACGCGGATGTACTTTAACGTCTTACCCAGGATGCGGATGTAGTTTAGGACGGAGAGAATAGCAGAAGGAGTCAGGTACTCATTGGAGCGGTAAAGTTAGCCGACCATTTTATCATCATCCTTAATAATTAAGAAGAGAAGAGGGTCAAAAACCATGTGAAAGATTGTTTCTGTTCACGCGTTCAGATATTTGCCAGTGTCAAATTACACGCCAATTATATTATAGGCTTTAGCCAAGCACTTAGCACTTCAAAAACTTTATTTCAACAATCCAAGAAAGCTGAATATTTCAAACTATCTCTCTTCATCTACTTTTAAACGTATGCAAACCATTTATCCCTTCGATAAGCAACGAACTTTCTTACGTTTGATTGAAATATTTTCTAATATTATTTGTTGCCATTTGATTTAATATGTTGTATGAACATTTCCGTTTCAAGACAATTCGTAAAATCTATGGACTTGAAAAATTTATGATTTATTTTCCTGAAACGAGTTGCTGTCACAGCTTCAAGCGTGTAAATTCATAAATAAATTCTTTCTTTTGTTTTGTTAAAATCACCTGTTTATTTCCTCGTCATTTTCAGTCCCCATTAAGCTTCTTGACATGGGCAAACCAACCGTTCATTTTAACTCCGAAGCCCCACGCCACAATATGTAAATATTTATGAGATTCTGCAACATTTATCCCGCAAACAATATTGGAGGACAACAATGTGAGCCCGGATAAAGAAACATAAAACAATTAGCATGAGACAAACGACAATGCATTTGTTTTACAATGAGGTTCACTTTTACCAGGCTCGGGGGCCAATCGAGGTAGACGCTTAATTTGGAGGCCATTTGTGTGTATAGATCTGGCTCTTGTAAAGGTAGAGAACAGCCAGAGGGGTCGGGTAATTACTGGAGAGATACAGAAAGCCGACCATTTTAACGGCATCCATAGCTCGTATGAATGAGTTCCACTTAAGGTCGGATTTGAGTCTGAGGTCCAAGAGTCTTTCGAAGCACGGTGCTCCCTTGAGATGACCCCTTTCATCCTGATTGGTGGTAGTTCGGCGTCAAATCGACGATGGTAGAATGTAACTAGCTTGGTCTTTGAGGCATTGAATGTAACCAGCCAGTTTTTATACCTTTGGGTAGTTTGTGCAAGATGGTAAGAGAGCTCAGTCGGCAATCTCTGACCTTCGAGAGTTTTGGATGAGCGCCCGTATATAGTCATACCATCGGCATAGATGTTTACAAATGATCGCAGTATATACTTAGACATATCATTTATAAAGATCAAAAACAGTGTTGGTCCGAGGAGTGAACCCTGGGGTACCCCTGCGTTAATCTCTAAGTCTCTAATGGAGTGGGTATTGATAACTTCCTTCATGGACCTACCCCGAAGGATTTTAAGACCGAGAAGACTCTTTCGCCGATTCCATAACAAGAGTGCTTGTGTATTAAGTCTTTGTGCCAAACATTGTTGAATGCCTTTGAGATATCTAGTACTGTGGTCCTGTAGGTATGTTTGTCGTCAATAGCCTAACTGCTTCTATGATTAATGGTAGTTAGGACCTCAGCAGTGGAATGGGCCGACCGAAACCCATATTGCACGTCGCTGAAGAGATTGTTCTCGATGAAGCGCTTATTCATTATGGCCTCAAAGTGTTTGCCGAGGAGACTGGCGTGGCTGTATTGGGCGGGGGAAGATCTCACGCCCACATTCTTTAAAACCGGGCATAACGCATGACACTTTCCACAGGTTTTGGGAAGGACATCATCTTGAACCGGCGGTTGAATAAGTTACCAAGGATTGTGGATAATCCCGGATTGATGTTCCTAAGTAGCGCCACTGGAATATCGGATCAGTGGCTTTCTTAGTGTCAAGACATTTTATAAGTCTTGAGATTTCTCATGATGTGATGGTAATATTACTGAGATTGTGCTCAGTGAGACGCAAGGACTTGGGGAGGGGATGGTCTTTATCATCTAACATTGAGTTACAGGCAAAGATGGAATCGAAGAGGTTCGCCTTAGCGGTCGAGGAGGATACAGATACAACTCAGTTGACTGCAAGCAAAACCACCTGCATATAGATAGAAAGTGGCCTGCTTTCTGTTCATGCGCTATTGGTGATCAAAGTTTGGGCTTGTTCACGCCAGTATTTTTACTGCTGTTACAGTGTAAACATGGCCACTCCGCTAGCAGTGTACACCAAGCAGGAACAAAAATGAAGTGGATTCGGATCACTGGTCGTTTCGAAAGCAGGAGGGGAAAAAAGGAAACAGCAAGTAATATTGCAAACGAACATATGCATTGAGAATAAAAGTGTATTGCTAAGAGCTACAAAGAATAGGATAGTTGTGAAGGGCCGTGGTCGGTCAAGACCTGAAGAAGCAAAAGAAGAAGAAGAAAGGGGAGGAGGAAGGGAGAAGTAGAAGAAGAAGGAGAGGGGAGTAGAAGAAGAAGCAGAAGAAGAAGAAAGAGGAGTGGGAAGAAGAAGAAGAAGAAGAAGAAGAAAAAGAAAAAGGAGAAAGGGGAGGAGGAAGGGAGTAGTAGTAGTAGTAGTAGTAGTAGTAGTAGAAGAAGAAGAAGAAGAAATGGGAGGGGGAAGGGAGTAGGGGAGAAGAAAAAGAAGAAGAAGAGAAAGAGGAGGAGGAAATAGAGAAGAAGAAGGGGGGAGGAGGAGAAGACGAAGAAGAAGGAGGAGGAGGAGGAGGAGAGGAGAAGAAGACGTAGAAGAAGGGGAGAAGAAGAAGAAGGAGGAGGAGGAGGAGAGGAGAAGAAGACGTAGAAGAAGGGGAGAAGAAGAAGAAGAAGAAGAAGAAGAAGAAGAAGAAGAAGAAGGCGGAGGAGGAGAAAATGCCGCCACTCTAGAATTCCATTTGGAAAATTTACAGATTTCCGCGACGAATATTCGTCTTAAATTCTCTTTGGTTGATTTCCAACGATTTTATTTTTACCATTTTGTCCTGTTGCCAGGCGCATGTGAGATTTCCTTTCTTTCTTTCTTTCTTTCTTTCTTTCTTTCTTTCTATTTTTTTAAAAGTGATTTTCATCAAGTTTATTTTACCTTTCATCCTGTGACTTGAAATTTATCATTCATAAATTCCTAAGGTTTCCTTTATGCTAATTAAAGAAGAAAAATATAAGAAAACTCAGAGAAGACAGCGAGTGAAACAAAAGGAAGAAAGACACAAAGGAGGGAATATAGGTTCGAACAATGGGGGGTGACAACGAAAGCAAAAAATATTTTTAATTAATTAATTAATTAAAACGTATAAAGTGAAAGAAAAGTGGAACATAGTAAAAAATGAAAGAAACAAAAAAGAAAGAAAATTAAAAATATCGATTGCTCTAAGCAGAAAAGAACGAAGAACATAGGTGTAAAGATAGGAAAACAAAAGTAAGAAAAGAATTATGAAGAAAGAATGGTAAAAAATGTAAAGTAAAGGAAAAGAATTAGAAAGAAAGAAAGAAAGAAAGAAAGAAAGAAAAGGAAAGAAGAAGAAAGATTGGATAGGAACAAAAATAAACAACTGAAAAAATAAATGAAAATATGGCCAAAAATAAATAACAAACAAAATGCCTCTTCTGCAGAGGATAGAAAAGACGAAAAAAGAAACAAACAATGATTTGAAGAAAGAAAGAAAGAAGGAAAGAAAGAAAGAAAGAAAGAAAGAAAAATCATAATGTAAAGAGGGGAAAATATGAAGAAAGAAAGAAAAATTATAAAATTACAAAAATAAAGAACTAAAAGTGTGAAAAAAAGTGAAATAAAGAAAAAAATCTTAAAAATAAAGGCAAAAGAAAGAAAAATCATAAAAGTAAAAAACAAAGAATTATGATGAAAGAAATAAGAAAAATTAGAAAGAAAAAAAGAAAAATATGATGGAAGAAAGATAGAAAGAACAATTACAGAAGTAAAGAAATAAAATAATGAAAGAATTTGTAAATAAAACGTTATGAAGAAAGGAAAAAGAAGGAAAGAAAAAGAATGAAAAATCTTAAAAAGAAAAAAAGAATGAAAAACCTTAAAAAGAAAGAAAAAATAATGAAAAACCTTAAAAAGAAAGAATGAAAAATCCTTAAAAGAGAGAAAAAGAATGAAAAATCTAAAAAAGAAAGAAAAAGAATGAAAAATCTAAAAAAGAAAGAAAAAGAATGAAAAATATTTAAAATTAAGAGAAAAATGAATAAAAAAATTTAAAATGTAAGACAGAAAAAAGAATGAAAAATCTTAGAAAAAAGAAAAAAATCATAAAGGCAAAGAAAGGAAAAAGAGTTTAAGAAAGAAAGAAAGAAAAAAACAAATGAAAAAAAAACGTAAAGATAGAAGTAGAGAATCCAAAAGAAAAGAAACAAAAATGGCTTCGGCTGGTTGCTTTTACATTTCAAACATGCGTGAATAATTCAATCTGAAAGTCAGCTCGTCTTTTTTTATATATAAAATAAGGAGAAAAATGAAAAAGTAAAGAATGAAAAATAAGATGAAATTAAGTGAAACGGTAAATAACAGAGAAAGAATGAAAAAAAAAAGAAGGAAAATGAAGGAAACTAAAAACGAAGTTTCCCTTATCGTCTTCCAATTCTTGTGATACGAGATTCTTTTAACATGCAACGTATCATTCATAAATTCTTTGGATTTCCTTTATGTCGATTATTCGATTGTCACCTGCAATCTTTCTGCCCATTTAAGTGTTCATTATATTTTTTTTTTCGAAAGCGGGCAAATCGGAAGCAGATCAGAACGGGATTGAAAGGAGAGAAAAAGAAAACCTCAAAGTGAAACTAACGAAAAGAAATACGAAGAGAAAGATAAAAGAAAGGGTAAGTATGAGAGTCGTGAGTGGCAAAATTAAGTGCGTAAGAAAAGAAAAGAAATAAAAAGAAAGCTAAAAGGAAAGAAAGACGAAAGAGAGTGGAAACAGAGAAGAAGAAATGCAATCAGGAAGTAACGAGTATAGAAAAAAGAAAGAAATACATTTTTATAGCAAAAGAAAAATGAATAAAGAAAGAATAAGAAATAAAAACAAAAAAAGAAAGAGAGAAATACAACTATGAAATAAAATAAAAAATGAGTGAAAGAAAGACTATGAAATAAAACTAAATGAGAGAAAGAGGAGAGAAAGAAAGACTATGAAATAAACCCATAAATGAGAAAAAGAAAGACTATGAAGTAAAACCAAAAATGAGAGAAACGAAGAACGACTATGAAATAAAACTAAGAGAGAGAGAGAGAGAGAGAGAGAGAGAGAAACTATAAAATAACACCAAAAACGAGAGAAAGAAAGAAAGACTATGAAATAAAATCAAAAAGAGAGAGAGAGAGAGAGAGAGAGAGAGAGACTATGAAATTAAACCAAAAATGAGAGAAAGAAAGACGATGAAATAAAACCAAAAATGAGTGAAAAAAGAAATCCTATGAATAAAACCAAAAGTGTGTGTGTGTGTGTGTGTGTGAGAGAGAGAGAGAGAGAGAGAGAGAGAGAGAAAGACAATGAAATAAAGCCAACAATGAGAGAAAGAAAGGACTGAAATAAAACCAAAAATGAGAGAAAGAAAGACTATGAAATAAAACTGAGAGAGAGAGAGAGAGAAAGACTATGAAATAATGCCAACAATGAGAGAAAGAAAGAAGGACTGAAATGAAGCCAAAAATGAGAGAAAGAAAGACTATGAAATAAAACCAAGAAGGAAAGAAAGGATCTGAAATAAAACCAAAAAAGAGAGAGAGAGAGAAAGACCAAAAAGAGCGAAAGAAAGATATTTTTATAATAAAATAAAATAAAAAAGAAAAGCCGTAAGAGCCTTTGAGACGAACAAAGGAACAAAAAAGAAAGAAAGAAAGAATAAAAAAAGACAGAAAAGAAAGAAAGAAAATGAAAAATAATCAGAAAAGAAAGAACACGAAATAAAGTCAGAAAAGAAGGAAAGAAAGAAATTCTGTTAATCAAAGAAGAAAGAATAAAAAATGAAAGTAGAAAAGTGGTGATAAATAAATATAGAAAGAAGAATAAGAAAGAAAGAAAGAAAGAAAGAAAGAAAAAATTAAGAATTTACAGCGGGAAAGAATGCGATGAAGAAAGATGTACTAGGAAATTAATTACACATCAAAAAGAAAGGAAATAACGAATGAAATAAAGAAATAAGGAAAAGAAAGAAAGAAACGAAAGAAAAATAGAAAGAAAGACTTAAAATAAGTAAAACAAAACAAAAAGCAACGAAGTGAAAATTAAAGAATTTAATTAAACATTGAAAAAGAAAAGAGAAAAAAGAAAGTATTAAAAAAAAAAAAGACGAAAACGAAAAGAATTTAGAGTGATGAAAAGAAAGAACGTCTCCAGGAAGTAAAATGAAGAAGAAAAAAACTAAACATGAGAGAACGAAAGAAAAGTTCATTAAAAGAAAATGAATGTACAGATTTTCACGCGATCATTTATCGATCTGTGAGTCCCATTAAAGTAAATGTTAGCGATTAAATCGAAACGGTATCCAAGATTATTTCTCGTAAAAGCCTTATCAGGTTCGGGATTAAATGCAATGCTGTTACATCTATTGATCTCTTTCTTTACGACATGAATATATTAATTCGAATCTCAGGGCTTTCGGGAATATATTTATATACATTCAGAAGAAGTAGTGGACACTTGGGTAGCAATCCTACTTTTATACATGTTCCATTAAATATGACAGACAATGAATAGCTTGTTTTTTTTTTTTTGCGTTTACTGACATTTTTAGGACACAAGAAAAATGCAAGACGGGAAGCCACTAGCACGCAAGAGGTTACAGAGAATTGGAGTGAGAGCAAATAAGAGTGATAGAGGAAAGGATGAAGGGAAGGATAGGGGATAGATCAAGGCATCTGGAGACGTCGATTGACATTACATTTGAATAGTTGGAGATTATAGCTATTAAGGAAACAGGAAAAGGGGAGGGAGTTCCACAGGCGAGAGGTGTGAGACATGAAGCTACTGGAGTAGAAGAGACGACTACATCTAACAATTTCGATAGTGAAAGGGTGAGAGCAAGATGCCAGCCTAGTAGAACGCTTAAATTCATCGAGTTTGTGAACCAGCGAATGCAGCTCCTCCAAGATATCCATTGTCCATCAATTTAATGAAGCATTTTTACAGAATATATATATATATATATATATATATATATATATGCGTGTACACACAGCCGTGTGGTCATATATATATATATATATTAAGAAATGGACAAAGTCCGGCAATTTATTTATTAAAGACATTTTTTTATGTTTAACATTCTTTTTTTTTTTTATAGATACAAGTATTTAAGTAAATGCTCTGTTTATAATAAACAGTATTAAATAACATTTACCGGCCTGAATGTCCGAGAAATTTTCATAGAAAATATTCGTCCTTTGACAGGATTCGAACCTGCATCCTATACGGAACCGTCATTTACGCCTTAACCGTCTCGGCCACAAAGGAGCGTTCGGTAGGCAAGGTCGACTTTACTGCTTATAAACTTCAATCTTCCATGAATCTCGTACATTCATAACTGCTCTGGCGTATCAAATGTAAACAAATGACGTCATATATTAAGAAATGGACAAAGTCCGACAATTTATTTATTAAAGATATTGTTTATGTTTAAAAAAAGAACGTTAAACATAAAAATATTTTACTAAAAAATGTCTTTTACTAAATAAATTTATATATATATATATATATATATATATATATATATATATATATATATATATATATATATATATATATATATAAAGAGAGAGATCTTAATGTACAGCCAGTTAGATCAGGCTACAGGAATGTAGGACGCCTATGGCTAAGATACAAAGACAAGCTGAAAAGCAACTTGTCAGTCGTCAATATACCACATAACACCCTTGAGCACTTAGCCTTGGAGCATGTAGAATGGAGATCAACGTGTTTTATGGATTCAGCAGTTTTCAGTCTGCTTGTCTGAATCCTCTTCAAGAAACGAGAGCAAGATCTAAAAGTTCAGCCAATCAGTGATCTCATCCCACAATCCTCACTCTTGCTCTTTTGTAAATCACTAGCGGGTATTAAATGCCACTTAAGATTATCGCACTAAATTTCATAACTGAATCAATAAGCTGTCAGATCCTCATACGACGAAACCGACGAAAGAGTACATTATCACTCTTATTTATTATATATATATATATATATATATATATATATATATATATATATATATATACTCGACTCTCCTGTCGAATTCGACGTATGAGGGTCAAGCAGATCAGTTCCCGGAAACCGACAGCACGACAACAGCACATGAGATTTGATTATAGGGGTGAAAGCTTCGTGCAGGACCATCCACATTTTTTTTTATTCTTGAACATGAAACATACAATTAGTC